GTGTGACCTTATTGTTGATAATAATGTTGATCTAAGGTGTATTGTTATCAAAGTCCAGGTCATGTCAAGGTTTTGTTGTTTCCTTGTTTCCGGTTAATCAAAAACCTATGGACTTTCGGGTCTCAATCATAATCATGATTAAGGTAATACAATCAAGGTGATAATACATCAACTTGACTGTAAATATATTTACATAGGAATCTACAGGAAATGATTAAGGGCTAAAGTTAATTGCATCTCATTTTCTTGTTAATTGTTAATCTTTACGGATCATCATGATGAAGTGTTTCCGGTTTTACAGATGATTATTATTGTTATATAATCAAGTTAATTGTTTTATCTGTTGATTGTTATATGTACAGACTAAAGGAAATGATCAGAAATGAAGTTGATTAAATATTGATAGTTAATTATTAGCTCTTAAGTTAATGATGATATTTGATATTTTGTAAATTGTGATTAATTTTGAATTTAATTTGGTTTTATTTTTTCATTGTTTAGGTTAATTGTTGGTGATTAAAGTTTAGTTTAAGATTTGGATCATTAAATTAAATAATTTGATGATGATGATTTAGTAATCATAATAATCATTGAGATTTTTCATCATTAAAAATAATAGTGACCAGTTAATGATTAAAATTGATTGTTGTCTTGATTGTTATTAAGGTAAGTATTTAAATTGCCAAGTAAAAGTTTATCTTTAAATAATAACAATTGAATTAAGTTGAACAAATATTTAAAAGTTACAATCAAATTTGATTAACCATAATTAACTATTTCTTTAAATTGTAATTTTATGTATTGTAAAGTTTAATGTAGATACAGAATAGTGAAAGTTAATTACAACATTTACTTTTAATTGTTTAACAATTAACAAGTAAATAACAAGTTAATTACAATTGAATTGAATTGTGAACAGTTAATATTTTAAAAATCAGTTGTGAGAGAATCAAAAAAGTTTATTTAATTTAAATGATCATTGTAAAAGTTTGAATAGTTAGTGGATATCAATTGATCTGGAATAACGGTTTAATCAAAAAGTCGTAAGTAGATCAAGAAAATCAATTGATTGTAACATTCAACAATTAAATTAAACAAATCGACTTGCCAATGCAACAATTAAAATAATATAACTCATATTTACATCAATGGTAAATATGATATAAGGTGAGAGAGGGAAAAAATAACAGATACACAAAAAGAGAGAGAGAGAGAGACAATTACACTCGTGGCACTTGGCCTACCCTGTGATGATGATGATGATGATAATACAAAGTGGGCAATAAATACAAAGATGCATATGTACAGGATGGGAGACAGAGGGTGGGTTGAGGGTAGGGAGGGATAAACACGGATAAAAAACCGTTGATAGAGAGATGATTAAGCCAGAAGGCTGTTGGAAATTCAATGTAACTTTGCATATACGATGTGGCCTCAAGTTACCTTGAGATACACACAATGTATTAGGTAAGTTTTATGAAAATGATTACATTGATTGTTGGTGTTACTTTTAAATTGTTGATGATCACAATCAACCAACAATTTGAGAGTTTATTCAAGATACACTTCAGGTTATGGACCATGTTAAAAACGATCATCATCATCATCATCATCGTTTTCCTCTCTCTCTCTCTCTCTCTCTCTCTCTCTAGACAGCTGTTTGCTTGTGATCCATTTAAACAGCATTACAATAGTGATGATGATGAGAGAAGGATGAAAAATGATGAGGATAAAACATATATATGGCTTTTTTTTTTACTTCTACTCTATTGTTGTTGATAATGATACTGTGAGAGTGTCAGGAGGGAGGGAAACCTTTTCTATCGGTTGATCGGATATCCGTAGCGGGTTTTTCATCAAGGTATTTTATTTATCACTTCTAACTGGTTCTCACTTGTCAAAAGAAACCAGAATGAAAGACTCATCATCATCATCATCGGATTAAGCTATTGGGATTAAGAGTTTTAATAAGAAATGAGATTTACAATGGGTTAAGGGATAAATGATAATCCTTCCAATATCATTATTCTGATATTTTAACTGTTAATATGGTTTAAAATTTGAAATTGATTCACACAACTGACTAAATTTAATTTTAATTGGTAATTTGATAAGTATAATCATGATTATCTTGTCATAACTTTAATTACGCCATTTAAATTGGTAACCACAAATTTGTTTTTGGGGCCTAAACTTATTAATAATTAACTTTAATCACGTTGATTAAGTTGTATTAACTTGAATTATTTGCTTATGATCAATGGTTTGTATTAATAATTTAAATAGTTTTACTTACTGTAACTGCAAAGGGTTGATTTAGTTTAAAAAATAAGCAAATTGATTGTTAATTAAGGAGAAACAATTTAAACAGTGGAATGAATTAATGTTTTTAATTATCAATCATAACCAAAGTAATTAACTAACCAGTTTTTTTGCTAATTTTATTATAGTTTTGAAACTTTTCAGGTAAATTTTGGGTGAATTGAAACTTTGCTGTAAACAAATTTTCACTAATCAAGTGACATTAACTTAATTGTTGCTGTAATCAAGAAAATAAATTAAAATTGGTGGTTTAAAATTTGAATATAAACCGTTTGATTGGGATAATAAATTATACAGTTTAATTAACTTATTTTACGTTAATTAAACCTATTAATTAACTGGGTAAAGGTTTAAATATTACAAGGATATGAGGATAAGTTTAATTGTAAAAGGAAAGTATTTACAATTAAACAAGTGAAAGTTAAAGGAAAGTTGATTAGTGATTGACAGAAAAGGGATTGAAGTTGATGATTAGATGATGATAATTGATGACAGTTACTGAATTAATCAAGCTAATCAAAGTGATGATGATAAAACACAAATTAATCAATGATCAAATATTGAATCCGGATTATCATGTTACCAATGAAGCCCAAAGATGAACTTCATTTCAGTTGTGATTGTGGTTGATCATGGTGGAGATGTAATTAATTATGGTGACAATTAGCTCTGGAAAAAAAATTCCAGGTAAAATTATGATGATGACGATGGAGAAAAAAACGGAAGACAAGAGAGTGATGATGAGTGAGAGAAAAGAGAGATGAAGATGAGAGGCTCTTTTTTGTATCTTCTTCATCAAGGAAACACCTTGAATTTTGTAATGAGAAAAAAGCATAACAAGGGTTAGGGCATCATCACAACATCATCATCATCATCATCCTGAGCTTAGAAGAAGCTGCATCAGCATGATGATAACAAGAGTCTTAATCATAACAATTAACCTTAATTCATTTTCTTAACAAACCAACTGTTCCTGTGTCAATGTCCCTAAAGGTTAAGGTAAAAAAAACAAGAGATTATGAGGTAACCGTCATGATAATTAGATATAAGCAAAAATAGCACGAAAAACATTATCGAAATGGTTGAGTAAATTGTTGCAAATGAATTGAAATTAACAGAAAACAGCAAATTTCATGAGTTTAAATATCTTTCACTTTATCGTCAAGGAGAAGAAGCGAAAAAAAAATGGTTGGAAAAAGTTGATGCGTGAAGGAAAAACTTAAGGTAAAGGTAACATGTTGAATGGATGAGGATAAACAAGCATATGATTGTTATCAATGATTAAAAATGAGAATCAAATTAACAAATGGTTATTATTAATTTTGTGATTACTTTTACCTGGTTAAGATAGTTTGTTAATTGGTTTATTCAACTTGGTAATAAATTGATAATCATCATAACCATAATCAACAGGTATTAATAAAAAGATGAAGCAACAATGAATTGAAAAGTTGTTTTTACCTTCAAAGATTTTTACCTGAACAACAATGAAAACTAAGGCTTCTTGTTGTTGTTGATGATGATGATGATGATGATGATGATAGTCTGAACCAGAATTTCTGAGGTAAAAACTAGTTTTCTACAGGTAAGTAAAGAAGGAGAGAAGTCTATTTTTATGCTCCTTCTTTGGGCCTTTTTAGAGCCAAAGAAAGATCAACAGAAAGGTAAAGTGTAATGGTGAAAAAAGTACAGTCTGAGAAGAAAATATTTCTGATCGCATCAATGAATTCAGGTAAAGTTGTAAGACGAGGGTATGTTCAGGTAGTACAATTGAGTAAGTAAAAGAGAGAGAGAGAGATAATTGTAATTACATTTGTAATCAACTTTTATAAGGAAATCAGTTGATTGTTGATTTACTTGGTTGGTGAGAATGGATTTGTTTTCTCTCTCTCTCTCTTTCTTTCTGCTGTACTTGTGAAAACTATTACATTTTGTTAGCTGATTGTTGCTTGTGGTGTATTTTGATTTGAAAGGAAAAACTGATTGTCCAGAAATGAAATTACAATTAATTTGATTGTATTGTTGCTGTATTATATTGGTCAGTTGATTGGTTATATCGGCAATCAACTGATTATAATGGTCTCTCTCTACCATTTATTATTTAAGAGTCCATGGTAACAGTTATTGGTTAATTGTAAACAAAAGTTTACATATGATTTGGTGGATTAAGGATGAAAATAATGTATTAAATTGTTAATCGTGAATATAATGTTACTGCTAAAGACACAAATGAATGGGACAATAACAATACTAATAAATTACAATCGTAATTGTTATGCTGATGATAATTATTGTTATCAATCAAAAAACCAGGTTTCAGTTTAATTAATTGTCATTATGACAATCACAATGTGAATGTTATTTGTATGGAGAGAGAGAGAGAGATAGTGTCACAACCTGATTATCCGGACAATTTTTAAACTATTTGGAAAATATTAGTTAATTTTCAACAATTAGATTGATTTTCGATGAGAGTTGAAAGCTAATTAATTCAACTGGTTGTATTGATTGCGAATGACACAATCTAAGGTCATGTATTAGAAGATAATTTCGAGTGAGAATAATTATTGAGAGAACAATTAATCGATTGGAATAATTAAAATTTGATGGAAAAAAAGAGAGCATAAATTCAAAGTTCATGTTGAATTTATAATAGAATTTGTTGAACAATTACTTACGAACTTTAACCGTCTTATGGTTTAGATTTGCGACAATTGAATGACAATTGGAAATCTTAAGTTTAAGACGTTCCGTTTTCTGGTTAATTGATTCAACTTCGCATGATAATTCATTGAATATGGTGTTGGAGATAAGGGCAAGGCACGATAATTGTTTAATCAACGAGACAAGAGTATTATTGGTAATCACTTCTAATTCATCTACCTCCTTATCGGGTGGTAAAGGTTTTCTACTTAAAAATACCGGTTCAATTACCCAATTTACAGCGGGCATGATGGTGGAAAGTTAGTAGAAGAGAATAGAAAAAAATGAGAGAGAGAGAGAGAGAAAAAAAAGGTAACACAACAGGTAAAAGGTTAAGTATAAAGAGGAAACTCAAGGACCAGAAAGACAAGTTAACCTCCTATGAAGAAATGACATCACTTTAGAATAGAAAATTGAGATTGTTTCACTGGAAAATGTCCATTAAATTAGATAGTGAGAGAATAATAGATAATTTATGGGAAGAGAGAACAATTTAAAAAGAACAATGGAGAATATGTGAAGAAAAGAATAATCCAATTTCCAACATGGCCGATGTTGGAATAGAAAACAAAAGGATGACAATGGCTTTTAATCCGTTCTCTTGGTTATCAGAAATACATAATAAGGTAACAAGAAAGGTAACCCAAGTTAATGGTCACTCTTTCTCTCTCTGGTCATTTCCATTTCAAGTTGTTGGTGTAAACACAAAGATGACCATTAGAGTAGCACACAAACACAATTGGTTATTTAATAGTGAACAAAATTAATCCGATTGAATGGAAATAAAGAGAAACGAAATTAATCCAAAGGGAGAAAAAAGAATCTTTTCTTTTTCTCTTCTTCTAAAACTGTTCTTGTCTTTTTTTTTTGGTTTATCACCGACGATGGACACAATCACTGATTCTACACACTGTTAATGTTGTACAGTCAAAAGTAAAAATAAGACAGGAAAGAGGAGGAAAAGAGAGAGAGAGGAAAGATGAAGATAAATTTTACAAAAGCGACTTGAGTTATCCCGATGTTAGCGCTTCTATTTACGATCCCGCCTTTCGATTGGAAATTACGATTGTGCTGCCAGCTAGTGGATTCGAAGTAAACTAAAAAGAGTCGAGATAAAAAAGAATTTTTTCTAATTTGGAAACTTTGTTATTCCAGTAAAGTTTGAATTGACTTGTTCATTGTCGTGGAAAATATTCAGGCTAATTTATGGATGCTGGACATGATATTTATTGTGATATCGATGAGAATAGTCACTCTATTGATGCTTTTGTAGCAATAACGAGAATCTCGTTACGAGATAACTGTAATACATAATACTGTAACGATATTGTTATTTGATATTGGATTTGATTCAATCAGTTGTGATTAAGTATCAATTTAAAATGTTTTAAATTAATTGAGCAAAATTATCGATGATTTTAATTTACTTACTTTGCCATTTCACTCAATTGTAAATTGTCATCTTTGTTTGAGTCAAAAATGTTCAATAAAGTCTCAGTATATTCATTCAGTTTTTCCTCAGTAACATTATCTTTTCTTGCTTCTTTCAGGAAATCACCAAGAACCCCTTCATTAAATTGGAAAAATAAACAATTAATTAGTTGGTTAATTTAAACGAAAACAAATTAACAATAACAATCAAGAAAATTTCAAAAAAAACTGAACTTTTCACGATTCTCATTATGAATACATAAAACTGAAAGATCAAACTAAATTTGAGTCAAGTTAATTAGATTAACGATTGTATCCGATAAAAATTTACAATGAGGAACCATTATTATCCATACAGTGTAGTTGATTAACTAATTATCCTTGTAAGACATCGAATCGAGTTGATTGTTACAATTAGTGGGATTTGAAAAGTACAATCTAATTAACTAGCAATCACGAGGCTCCTTACGAGTTTACAACTTTTGGGCATTTTTAGTTGCTGAGATACAGCGTTTTTGAGGCGGAATCCTTTTTATTCAATTTTCATTAATTTGCTCGTAACAAAGAACATGAAAGTCATGAAATCTTTGTGATTTAGATACATGTTGATTTTTTTAATTTGAATCGATGTGACCATCAAATGACCTTGAAAACTTATCCTAACAAAATGACCGGAATGGCCTTGATATTTTAATATGAGAATTGAGTATGTGTGGATTGTGGCATATCGTGAAAGACAAAGGTTGGTACTTGAGGGACTCGTCATCGAAATTTTCAATCAATCACCGACCCTTTATTACAAAGGAGATCTGCAACAGTTATTCAATTAAACTGTAATGTCTCAAGTTCTGCAATAACAACAATCTCTAAACTCATTGGCTAGGGTTAATCATAATATTATCACTATTCTTACCACCATTAGGTTAAGAACGGAAGGTTCCATGATAATCAGATTTCTTCATGTAAATTTCCTATTCAAAGACCGATTTTATCGAAATCTTCCGTTCTTAACCTAATGGTGGTAAGAATAGTGATAATATTATGATTCTATTAATGATTTATTGTTAGCGACTAAAAATACTATAAGTACATGAATTTTCATGATACCGACCTGAACCGTCTCTGAGTAACAGGCCAAAACCCGTCATTGCCCATAGAGCCCCATGTTAAATTCAACTGGGTAGAACTTTTTAATTTTTTGTCCGATTTTGATCAAAATGATCTTAAATTGATTGTAATTAGACAAACAATCAATAATCATTGATTTTATAAGGTCACTTTTAATAGTTTCAAACTATTTACTATTGAAATTAACTATAAAAAGGTTCAATTTTATGATTTAAAAAACTTCGACATATAATAAAGTTTATCACAAGAAAAGTGTGTAAATCGATAAAATAATTTTCTAATCAAATGGATGTCAATGATTAGAGAAAAAGTTGATATTCGAGTTTGAACTGTTTTCTGTTCGCTAGATGGAACTAGCTGCTCGCATTTTCTTTTTCTAATTTAAACTTTGTCTCAAATTAATTTTCTCTCTAATTGTCAACTATGGTCAATTTATTTCTCTTTAAATCATTCTCTATTATACCTCTTTAAATTTTAAGGTAAATACTTTTTTCTCTCTTCAATATGTTTCTAGATTTAAGAATTGGAATGATTATTATTATTTCATGGATTCCATGGGAAAAGTCATGCGCTTATTTGAAATTGGAAAAGAGAGTCGGTTTATCGAAACTTGAATGGACGAGAAAAGAGTTCAAATGTAAAGAGATGTTCCCAGTGGATACATGGAACATGAAGATTACCGATATTAGAACTTTTCAATTTCAATTTTCTCTTTTAATTGTGAATATTAATCATCTTAATTGTGTTTGATTATTTTTCTCTTTCTATTCTTCAAGTGTATTTAGTGATTAACGTGCTCATCATAAGTGTCTCTCAACAGTTTGGTGATATTTTCTCTTGAGTTCCAAAGAAAAGTGTTCATAAGAATTAATCTTAATTTCTACGTAAGTAATTCACCTACAGTTCGTAAGACTCACCCTTGATTATGGGAGAATTAACTGTTTACCCTTTTTTTTTGAGTTCCATTTCGATTATTTTAGATCATCTGATCAAGATAATTAATAGAATTCTTCAAGAAAATGTTCTATTCTTTTCTGATGATATTAAAGTTATAATTTCTTTTTCTTTCTTAATAAAACTCCAAATTCTATTCTATCATTTTCTTTATTTGATCAAGTTCTTGTCTATTATAAACCTTGGAGATTTTCCAACAATCTGAAGAAATGAATTTTATTCATTTTCGATATTAAATATCAACTTTTTCTCCATTATAATTGTTGATATTTCATCTCAATTGAATAATGAATTACCTGTTGTTGTTGTTGTTACCTCAATGGTGATTCATTTATATCTAAATTCTGTTGAATGGAAAAGTGTGGAAGTTTTTCTCTTCTATGAAAATTCATTCAATGGTGTTTATTGAAAATTCTGAAACTAAATCAAAGTTTTTTTCCTTCAAATTGAACTGTCAAGACTTTGTAATTGAAGTGAAAGTGATTCCTCAATAGAATTACAGTTTAATCAATAATTTCAACTCGTAACTGTGTTCATTTAAAAGTAAATACAATTTTCCATCTTTATATCGTTCTATTGCTGTTATTATCATTGTGTTCGAATGGAAGATGATTATTTTGACAGTTAAGGTGAAAATAATATCATCATGAAGCTAAATATCCAACATTCTCTCTCTCTCTCTCCTCCCTGATCAGCTATTTTTTCACTTGCCACTCTGGTGCGTTTCCAATGGAGAGAGAACTTTATTTTTCCACCTTCCCATCTAGACTAATATCATTGGAGTAAATTGTTATACTGTATGTGACCAAAGATGAGACAGAGATGATAATGATGATAATGATACTGAAAGAGGATTAGAGTTACAATTTAGTTTCTTTATGACCGATCAGTGATATAAATACATAAGTAACATCAGAATCGAGAATCTAAATTGATCACCATCATCATTATCATCAGACTAACATTGAAAATGTTTGAGCTTTAATTTTGTATTAACTACAATTTTAACGGTTAAATTGATTGAATATGAGATTAATGATAAATTGTATCGATAATATTGACAGAAAGATGAAGATGAAGATGAAGATGGAGAGGGAACAAAAAAGTTACCTCGTAGCAGAGGAAACAGAGGAAATAGCAAAAGGATAAGATTTGAATGTTAATCTGATGTTGAAGGTGGATAAAGATGAGGATGAGGATGAGGAAGGTGAAGATGTGAATGATAATAAGCAAGTGAAACTGGTGGGAGGTAGAGGGAGGCCAGGATGAGGAAGGTGGTTCACAAGTGTTGACTTGGGAGTGGAAATGATGTTACCCAGTGAATTTATCAAGTGGAACCCACCCCACCCTCTCTCCATTATTACATAACAGTATTAATATTATTTTCCTCTCCTTCCCATGTAATATAATGATGAAAAATTGTCTGACCATTGGAAACTACTAATATAACAATCAACTGATCACAATAATCATCGTAATCATTTATCACTAGTTAATAATTTAGTTTCCTCTCTCTCTTACATTTTAAATTGAGTTTCATGTTTTACTTGTGTTCATTTGATTGATTGATTGTTGTTTCTGCTTCAACTGTTGATTAGTTTTGATTGTTGTTATTTTACAATCAATTAATTGTTTTAATCGCATTCACTAGCAATCACTTTAGTATTTTGTAATATTCAGACAATTTAATCCTAATCAACTGAGAAAATTAATCCTAATGGAAAGTAATCAACTCTAATTATTATCCTTTTCTTTCAATTCTTGTAATTATAATTTTCATCATTTCTTTTTTTGTGTAACAATTAAATCTTTGCTTGATTTAATTCAATTCTTAACATTTAGATAATTAACTTGATCACTTTTTTCTTTGTGTTTATTTGTGTCTCTTAATTGTTACATAAAAAACAATTAAATGATTCTCAATTTATACAACTGAATGTGATTTATGATGATTAGGATTTAATCATTAAGATTGGAAAGTAATTAGATTGATTAACTTGCTTAATTGTGATCACTTTGTTTTTACACGTATTGTGACTGATTAAAAATGTTGATTGTTAATCAACATGTTTAATAATTAACATAACAATTGTTTTTAATTTACCTCATCATCTTAATCACAATTGGAATTGATTGTTTAATAGATTCCCATTCTTAATGGTTATCATTAAATTGCTGCAATTTAAAATTTAAAGTTAATAGTTAAACAATCAAGTAATAAATGACGATAATCAACAAATTTAACAGGAAATTAAACTTCAATCCAATTACAATTCAATTGTAAAATCTCAAATTGAATCAACATTTAGACAGAAAAATTAAAATAACAATTAAGTTGAATAACTAAATCTAAATTGTTGATTCTCATCTGATGATGATAATTAATTACCCAATGTCGTTATTAGTTAATCATGATTATCTTATGAAAAATATCAAAATTGATCATAATAACAATCAAAGTTAGGAAAAGGAAATTAAATCAATCAATTGATTGATGTTTTGATGATGAGCAAAAAACCCTGAGGGTGAAGATGATGATTAAAATGAAGATGGATGAAGATGATAAGACTTATATTGATTGTGGTCATTATTTGATTGTGATAATATTAATCACTTATAATTAATGTAGTTTAATTTGACCAATGTCCATTTGTTATGGTTGTTAAATCAAAAAGGTAACCAAAAAAACACCAAAGTCTTGAGTTATCATCTCAAGCATGATGATTATCATCCTCATCCTCAAGATGATTATCTGTCACTTATCTTCATTTATCTGTGATAAACATTGATGAATGTCCAGTTAGTTGGTCAAGTTTACTGTTAAAGTGTATTAATAATGTATCTTGTTTAACGTTAATTCAAATTAATGGTTTCCTTGTATTAAGTTATGTTTTTTTCATCTTTTTCATAGCAAAAGGATGAGGATGGAGATGATATTTATCATCATCATCATCATCATCTTTTTGCTTAGATTTGTCTTTTTTTGCTCTCATGAAATTTGATACACAAATGATAATGGATTGAGACTGATTCAGATTAATCATCAAGGTGGATTAAGTTGTGATCTGTTTAATTGAAATGGATTTTCATCATTTATTTAATTGTCATGAAACATTAAAAGTATCAAGTGATCAATATTTTTGGTTCATTTTTGTGTTTAAATTGATTAAATTCATTGGTTAACTTGATTATATTGATTTTTTGCCTCTCGATTTGATTACTTTTTGATTAAGGTGATTAATCATTGATACACTTTTATGTTTTATATAATTAATTTTCACTCTTTGATCAACTTTAAGTGTCCTTATTATTATTTAGGGCTAGTTAATTGTTGTTAATCCATCAATGGATGTGTACACATAATCTAATACTTATCGCAATCAATTAATTATTACAATCAATCAGTTAAAGCTGTTTACCTTTTCATTGTTTACATTTTCATTTTGAAAGTGACATCAACAATTAGTTGATTTGCTGTTCATTAATTTAAATTTACATTCAATTGTTTGACTGATTATCTGATTAACTGTTCATTATCAATTATCATTTTGCTGTCACAATTACCATCATCCCTCTTAATTATCTAACAAATTGTGATTGTAAATTAAGTGAGTGAAAAAAAGTCAACATGAAAATGTCATTAACACAATCAAATCAAATCAAATCAAATCAAATCAAATCTAATTTCATTTCTACAAAAACAGTGAATTAGATGAAAATTTCAATGGAATCACAATTAACTATCATGAGGTGAAAGAAAAAATTTCCTCGACAAATCAATCAATTGATTAGATAATTTGATCGTGAAAAATTCTGTTAATGATAATAATCAATAGTGGGTTCAAATTTGAAATTCATCCATTAATTGTATACAGCCATCGACTTTGAGTTTGCAACCACTTTTAATTTACTCGCGCAGTTACTGATAATTAGTCAAAGATAAATCTAATCGGATGGCCATTTGAAAAGATAACACCAGTTGAATGAGATGACATTGATTATTATCTTTGGGTTAACTTAATCTCTCATTGATTATCATTATCGTCGCGAGTAAATTAAAAGTGGTTGCAAACTCAAAGTCGATGGCTGTATATGATTTAAATTGATTCCATTTCATTAAACATTTTCCTCTTTAATACAACTCGATAAAAAGAATAAGAGAAAAAAAGTTCTATCAGGTTCGAAGTTGGATAAATGTTTCAATATTTCTGCTTACCCCCCTTTGACCTTTTTATCAGTTCGAAGAGAAAAAGGAAAAAGTAAAAAAAGTTCTGAATACCTCGAATATGTCACCAGAATATCAAATACTAATAAAAACCAGCCCACTCTCTATAATGGTCACAGGGGTGGAAGGTGAAAAAAGTATCAAAAAAGTTTCGAATCAAATGAAATCAGTTTAACAGCAATTTAACACTCAACATGAAATTATCCTAATAATTGCATGAAACAACAGTGGGTTATCATAAGTCCTGCTCCTCCCACTCTGTATTATCAGAGTCATAAGATCTCAGTTTTTAAAGTATTGAAAGTAAGAACCTAATAAGAAATGAATGAAGTTGATTACAATTTAAATTGTCGTTGAAAACAATGTGAATGAGAAAATGATTTCAATTGAAAACAAAAACAAATCAAAATTGATCATAAATCATTCACTGATTTTTAGTGATAGTTAAACAAATTGTTGTAAAGGAGAGAGGATGGTGACGGCGGAGTGGGTTTCAACATTATTGATTATCAATCATTTTATCCTCCGCTCTGTGTAATCATTAACAGGAGAGAGAGAGCAAAAACTTAACTAATTGTGATCAAATAAATTGTGATTGATATAATATTAGATTTATATAAAAAATCAGAGTTTATCCTTTACCTCCTTATGGTGATGATGATTATCCACCGCCACCATTTACCCACCGCCTCCTCTTTTATCCTCATCAAGATGCTGACGAAGATTTTTCTTGCTAATTTGATCGCTTGGATGAAGATGATGAGGTGAAGAGAGAGAGAGAGAGAGAGAGAGATGTATTAATATCTTGAGGAATCTCTTCCTCTCCCACCCCACCCTCACCTCCTCATGTATTTTTATTATTTCTTACGTTGATTTAACCTGTTTTTTTATTTAGCTTATGATAGCTAAATGTTAGTCCACATGAACGTGATTCTCATTTCCAATGAACTTTTTTTTCATCTTTTTTCATGGTAACTTTTTTCTTCTCTACCTCAATCACAGAACGAGAGAGGAAGAGAAAGAACTTCTCATCTTCATTTTTATCATCATTATTATTTGGCATCTATATTGATGTATCTCTTGATGAAGATCAATAATTTTCTACCTTCATCTCACCCTCATCATCTTACTCCCACTTCCGAGGATATTATTTCATATGTAACTTTGTTTTCTAGATGATAAAAGTTACATTTGAAACTTTTCTTCTTGACTTCTGATACAACAACAATTTACTAATCAATCATTGATTGATCATCATCTCTACCTTTCAGACTGATTAAATTTCTCATCTCTTAACATTGATTATGGTTAATTAATTGATTCCTTTTCTTTTATTTTCTCAATAACAATTTCAGTAAATTTTTCCTGTTAAATTGGTTGATAACTGTTAGAATTTCAATTCCCAATTGAGATTATTAATGATTTAGTCTAAACCAATGACAATATCAATGAATATTGCTTGATTGTTAGACTACGACGATGATTATGATTATCTCCTTTTGATTGTTGACCTTTTTAATCCTCCAATGGATTAAGCTATCAAACTCAACTGACCAGTTGACCGACTGTCTCTTTAACCAACACATGATAAAGATGAATATGATTGGCAATATGATGATACAAAAAGATGAAGATGAAAATAATAATTAAGCTTCGCGATAACTGAATGATAACTTTAATCTTGTGATTATGTTGATTGTCCGTTTTTCTAATCATCACAAACTCACATATTCTTGACCATTATCATTATCATCTTGAACCTGTAAGTTAATGATAACAGTTGAAAATGATTCGATTAAAAATCAAATTAATGTAAATAATAAATACTTAGAACTGGTCATCCTTTGAGATGACCATTAAGTTGTGTTACTTTGTTGCCTGATTGTTGATCTTGTTACCAATTAACTAACTTTACCAAGGTAATTGCAATTATCATCATGAAAAGGTAAACACAACAAACAACAAACAGAGATATAAAGTTTTTATCTTCCAATGGATATAAACTCATGGGGATTATTTCCTGAACTTCATCCTATTGGAACAGATATAACCAATAGAATCTGAAAATGTATCGAAAAAAAAAATTCGAAGAACTTTTTTCTTCTTTCAACCTTTAATTCGTCATTTTTGCGGCCATTTTTATATATATTTTCCCTTTTATTCACATGGGAACATTCATCCTCATCATCTCTCTGGGTTCTTGTTTAGTTTTATTCCTTTTGCTTGATCATCATCATCATCATCTTCATCTTCATCTTGATCCTCTTCCTGTTTTTAGCTGATTTAGTTAAACTGATCACGTCCATATGATAACAATTAATTGGTTCAACTTTCTTAGTCCATTGGTACAAATCATAATGATAATACAAACCTTAAATACGTTTCAATCAACATCATCTTCATCGACTAATCATCCTCATCTTTTTTTATTATAACCAACATCATCATCTTGTCGTAACAATCAACTCAAATATAATCAGTCAATACAATTACATTGCAATTGTTACAATGCACAGAAAGTAAATCAATTAACAAACAATATATAGTTAGTAGCCTTTAGGCTAAGAGCTGAAGATGATTAAGGTTGAGAGGAGGTTGATGATGGTGATGATGATGATGATGATGATAGTTTGATTAACTAACTAGCTAATCAAGTCACATTGGGACCTGACATTGAATTTGGATTGAATAACCTTGGATGATGAAAGTAAATTAATCCATCTCAATAAGTGATTACTGTCCATTGATTACTGTTCATTGTTGATGATTATCATGATTAAAACCAAATGGTTACAATTGTTTGTTGAATTGATTAGATTAACATTTTGGGAGTAAGATTAACACAATCAATTAAATTGTTAAAACCGTTAATGAGCTTAATCATGTTGTATTATCATTAGTTTTCATTAGCTGATCAACAACAGTAACAACAATCAATTCACTAATCAAGACAATCAAGACAAATGTAAATATTTGAATTTAAACTTTTTTTTCTTCTCCTTTTGTTTTGATTCATTAACTTTTATTTACAATCAAATTGTTTATAATTCATAACAATCAGTGTTGATCAAACTGCTTCATCATCAACATTGTTTCATCTACATGATTCAATTGAACATTAATTGTCACTCTGAATGTTGATTACTCATGAATTGCATGATTGCTTATGATTTTCAATGTGATTCATGAAAACTGTTTTTATCCAGCTTGATATTTGTTTCTCACTCTCACCATCTTCCCAATCTTCATCTTCCTCCTCTCCATCATCTCTTATTGAATAACTGTCAATCTGTGTACGACATGATTGAATTGAGTAACAAGCTGATTCATAAACTTTTTTTTGTTCTTTTCATCATCTTTCATCTTCATCTTTCTCTTTCTTTCTTTTCTCTCTTATTAAAATCCTCAAAGGATTTGCTTCTCTTCCGTTTCCTATTTACCTAATCATCCTTTCTTGATAAACTTTCATTCTCACTGATATTGTATTACTCGTCTTCCAAAAGACCCGAACATGATTAATTCTGCTTCTTAATTGCTTAATCAAACTTGTTAGATGAACAGTAATTTCTTAGTGTTCATGAATCTCAATTGTAATCTCAACGATACATGATGATAATAATCTGCTTCTATTTAGTAATCAAATATTACATTTCTAGTCCATGCTGATGATTAATAAACTTTGACTACTTTAAATTGAATTGATCACTCGATTTCTGAGCAATTAACTGACCCATGAGACTGATTACAAGTTAATTTACCTTTTCCACTGACCATTAACTTATTTGTCTATTTATGTTACAGACCAGAAATGCAACTCGACAACTAGAACTCACCCAGGAAATTTATCGTAAATGACCTCGAATAAAATTCATTCAACTTTTCGCATTTAAATATTTTTCTAAACTTTCTTACAACTTTTTCAGTAAATTTTACTACACAAAATGAACTATTCACACTTTCTAATTGGACTAATTCATCTAATGGTAAGTTACTGTTATTTCAATTTCTTTTACCATGATTATCAAAAGTAATGAGAAGAACTAGTTGTTCTATTCGAACTTTTAATATTTTCGAACATTCATAAATCTATTCAATGACCAGATTCGATTTTGCTAAACTGAGTTCGAAATGAATCAAATAATTATTCGAGACACAAGATAATCATCTATAACCTAAATTTGTCGTTGATCAAGTTCATGATAAGTAATAAGTAATCAAGCAAATCAGAATTTAATTGAATTAAGCTTGACTGAAATAGAATAACAATTTAAATTTTCCTCGATAAAAGTTTAATTGAACAATGATTTATAATTACAAATCGTATCTCTTTTCTTGCATTTACTAGATTCTTGAATAATTCTGTAATAATTTCAACTTAAATTATTTTGGTTAACTGTTTCTATTCATTAATTGTTGAAAATAACTTAATTGAAATAATCAAGATAATAATAATAGAAAAGTTCTAATAATCTATTGTTGATTCTTGGGTTCTAGATACATTTGACTGAAGGGGAAAAAGGTGAGAAAGGCGACCAAGGTCCACAAGGACTTCCTGGCCCTCCGGGATTAAGGGTAAGAGATTATTAATTGATTGAAAGAATTTGAAAAATTCTGTATAACATGAGATTGAATTTTCAGGGGAAAGACGGGAGAAAAGGTTTAGATGGGCCCCCAGGCCCACCAGGACCTCCAGGATCATTATCGAGGTTTGATGAGTGGACTTTGAGTGATTCGATTTATCAAAGTGTAAGAATTGACTGAAATTCTAGTTCTAGTGTAATCAAGATATTTTTTCTTTGTAGGGATCGGGAGTCGTGGGCCCTCCAGGTCCGATGGGCCGAAGTGGTCAAAAGGGCGAAAGAGGAGATAAAGGTGATTCAGGGAAAAAGGGAGATTCTGGTCATCGGGGAGGTAAAGGATCCAAGGGTGATATTGGAGATTCGGGGCCTAAAGGACCGATTGGCTTAGATGGAGCAAAAGGAGAAAAGGCAAACTTTAAAGGATAATTAGTCCAATTAATTAACGACAAACTTTTATAATCACAGGGAGAACCAGGCGGATGTCAACAAGCAGTTGCACTTCGACATCCACATAGATTTGAAATTGATGATCCTCAGGATACTGAAGAGTATTCATATTCAGTAGTTGGACCAAAAGGGGACATTGGTCAGTTTTAACTAAGTCGGTTTTGGTTTTAGTGGTCAATTTCAATAAAATTTTAACAATTTCATCAGGTGAACCAGGAATTATCGGCCCTCCAGGCCCTCGCGGAGAAAAGGGTGATCAAGGTATCGAAGGTCCAATTGGTCCTAAGGGACTTAAAGGGGATCAAGGAGAAAGAGGTCCAATTGGCCCTCCTGGAATAGTTGTTGATGGAAAGGGAATATTGATTAAGGTAGAAACTTGATTCTCTTATTATCTAATCAAATTATCTTAAGATTAACTGATTAAAATTATTTTAACAGGGCGAAAGAGGGAGCAAAGGTGAAAGAGGTCGAAGAGGTGAGCAAATTTCAACACTTTAAGTTGTGTTTATTTAATTTATTATCCATGTTCTTATTTCAGGTAAAAAAGGACTACCAGGGACATCGGGAGCTCCTGGATTACCTGGTTTGGTTAATTTAACACAAATTTGGGTAAGTTTATGCTCAATTCAATTGATTAATCGAGTAAAAATTAAGCAATAATTATTTAATTTTCTTTTCTTTCTAGAGTCAAATTGAGGTTCGTTTTTAATTTGTTGTGTAACTTGAAATTTAAGATTTCATTTGAATTTCTAGCAAAAAATTGATCAGAAACAAATAAATATTGATCAAATTGTCCATGGACTTAAAGGAGAAAAAGGAGATCCGGGCTTACCAGGCACCTCTGGGCTAGTTCATAGAGAGGTAGGTTTTTAGTTTCGATTTTGTTTATTAAATAACTGATTTTTTCACTTAGAACTTTGTTGTTTCATGTCTTGAAGAATTTCATATGATCTATTTTCTATTTTAACTCGAAATTCAGGACGGTATCGTTTATATTACCGGCCCGCGAGGAGAAATCGGCCCACCAGGTAAGCCTGGAATGGACGGTTTTCCAGGTGAACCTGGTGAACGAGGTATTCAGGGTATTGATGGTCAAAAAGGGGACAAGGTAATTAGTGTATTCACATATTCAAGTATCATGTTAATCCATGAATTTATTTTCTAAGGGCAAGTTTATTTAGTATTAATGTCTACCTTACTCTCACAGGGTGAACAAGGTCCCATAGGCCCACCCGGAAGTATAGACAACTTGGAATCTGTTTTGAAATCGATGAATATAAATCAGGCTATACAATCAGGTAATTCAGCTGGTTTGCGTGTTTTTCTGTTGATTAAGATTTTAAAACATCAATTTTATTAACCAGCATCTAGTTCAGGGCCCTGGTCTTCCTGGTCCTCGGACCCCTGGCACTGGTCATCCTGGGCCCAGGGCCACCAGGGAAGAGTTTCAGGGCTTACCTGGCCCTGGTCCTCACCACCAAGTGAATTTGATTTATCGTGGCTGGAAAATACTAAGTGGCCCAAAGGTTAGATACTAATTGTTGTTAACAATCAATTGAAAGTTCATTTTTCCTCTCACTTTTTATCAGAAATGAATCGAGATTTAAAAGATCTAAAATCTTCCATCAAACAAGCATCAGGTAAGTAAAAAGCTCTCGATGCGAAAATTCATCGAACATTCCCTTCATTCCATTTTAAGAATCGATCAGAGGCCCACCAGGTCCTCCGGGTCCTCCAGGTCCCCCAGGTCAAACTGGACAATACGAATCACAAGGCGATAAACCAAATGTCATTCCAGGAGTGAGTAGTTAATGTGACCTTTACCAAACGATTTCTAATCTATTGTATCTAAATGAGATCAGGCGGTTATCGTAAAAGACATGGCCTCTTTGCGACGAATGACTTCGATCAATTCTGTTGGAACACTCTGTTTCATCATAGACGAACAAGCGCTCTTAGTCCGAGTCAATGGTGGATGGCAATACGTTTCGGTTAGTCGACATTGGAAAGAGAATTAAACATTTCAATTAAATTGTTTCTCGATTACTTTTCAGCTTGGATCGATGGTCGAAGCAGAAACTGAAAACGTCCAGGTAACGGTAAATCAGAAGAGAGAAAAATGAGCTTATCTAACCTAATTTTATTCTTTCTCTCAGGTCACATCTCCTTTGGTCACTTATAAGCCGAAATTTGATCAAACATTAGACGATAGGATTGAAAAGGTTACTTTGTCTCGAATTAATTTGATTTAAACTATTCTCATTATAATATTTGCCCACTTTGAATTTAGACCCAAAAGAAACTTCGAATGGCAGCTTTAAATCAACCTTATTCGGGGGATATGCAAGGAATTCGTGGTGTTGACTATGAATGCTATCGACAATCTCGCCGATATAATATAAAGGGCACCTTCAGGGCATTTTTAGCTTCTCGATTACAAAACCTCGACAGTATCGTTCGTATACAAGATGCAAAACTACCGATCGTAAATTTGAAAGTAAATTGAGTCAAAGTTCCTGAAATAACAAAATAATAACATTTTCGACTTATTTTTGTACAGGGTGAGGTTCTTTTCAATTCTTGGCGTGACTTGTTCATCGGATCAGGTGGACCTTTCCTATTTCCTTCGAGAATCTATTCGTTTGATGGTCGAAGCGTTCTCGCCGACAGTATATGGTAAGTAATCTTTTTCATTTATTATTGAATTTAAATTGAACTTAAAGTTGACCCTTTTAATTCAACCACAGGCCACAAAAGCTCATTTGGCACGGAGCTGATAAACTAGGTGCTCGAGACGTGGACTCTTATTGTGACGCTTGGCACTCAAATAGTCAACAAAAGTTTGGATTTGCAAGCTCCTTATTACATGGAAAACTATTGGACCAAAAAAAGGTCCAATGTTCAAATCAGTTGATTGTACTTTGCGTCGAAGCAACAAGTCAAGAAGATTATCAAATGACTCGAGATAAACGAGATATTGATATGTACGAGGAGAACGATCATCATTTAGCTGAGAGTGTATTTGATTAATCACTTTATTAACTTTTCAAAATCATCCTTTTCCAATCAACTAATTGAAATATAATCTGAAAAGCAATAAACTCCTTCCTTTGATACATAAAAAAAGCTAATTTGTCACATTAACTTATCGTTTTGATAAGTTAATTGGATTATTTTGTTTACCAAATTCTTAATTATTAATTTTCAACGATTACTCGTTTTGCATCAACACCTCAGTTTCCATCATGAAATAGTACCAGAAATATTTATGTGGATCTTTTTTCCCATTCATCCTTGGAATAACTCGTTACATGGTTGAATGTTATTTCCTAGTAACTTCCCTGGATAAATATTATTCAATCGTCTATCCATTGGAATCAAACAGAATAACTGAACAACCATTGGTCAAAATATTTGCGATCAATTTAATCGTATCGATTATCTTTGCCATTCCAGCAGCAATTCCCTTCAAGGTTTGTCCATCCTCCGGATCGATCCAAATGGTTAACTATTACATATTCATGGTGGTTTGGAATGGATTGATCATGCTTATCATTCCAGCTTCCACCGAGATTTTTCTTGGAATAAGAATGATCATTGAGATTCGACAAATGTTAGTTATCAGCCCATCGAATATGAAATTTTCACCCGTCAAGCTGATTCTCATTATTCTAACAACAATTGTCATTCGAGTCGCTCTCCAAGGACCATTAACTTATCAAAGTATCTTCAATGTGATTGATTCTTCAGCCATGATTTACTGTTCATCGGATGAATACTTCAAGGTCTCCGGGTGGGTATCGCTTTTCACTCCAATATACAGCATCTTGTTCTGGCTGGTTAATAGATCAAAATTTTCGTCCTCTCAAATTCAGTTCAATGTTTTATTCATAATTTTATTGGAATTTATATTTATAATAATTTGGTGTCAACACTTTAATTGTCAAGCTGATCAAATATTCAGCTTATTATTGTTAAGAAGAGAAATAAAAATAAACATCATTTTATCAATTAACTAACTAATTAGGTTATATTATCGCTTTTCCAATAATCTACTTTCCAATAATTTTCTTACTCTTCCATTGAAATATCATATTTACATCAAATGATTTCGCTTCTTCTTCTTATTTCTATGAACAATCATATTAGTTTATAACATAGGCAAAGGTGAGAGGTAAAATTTAATCTAACCTTTTACCTGTTACTTTGCTATCTTTTTTAGGACGTTTTTAAAGTAAATACCCTTTATGTAAATGTTGATTTGTAAGTTTAATTATCATTGGTTAAATTGTCATCACAATCGTCTTGATTAATTTTATCTTCTCTCGTATTATTATGTTAGTGTCAACACAATTTCACCAATGATAATCTGTCAACAATCATATTGATCAAGTGTCACCTCCAATTTGGACAATTAGGAGTTAATTTAGTAAATTATTACAATTGTTTCTTCATTTTTTCTTATTAACCATAATTAACATTTGATCAACAATTAACTCAAAGGAATACAAAGTTTCATCAATGGACATTTGAATCTATTAATTGTTGCATTTTTGTTATAAAAAAACTAATTTCGTTTCAACAATTTAAATTGTTCCTTTGGATTTATTGAGATATTCCAGTGCAATAACAGTAGTAAACGAAAACGCTCTTTATATTCATTTTTCTAAGCTTAAGGTTCAATTTCCTGTTTTAAAAAATTCGACGATAACAAAGTTTATCACAAGAAAAACTTGTAAATCGATAAAATAATTTTCTAATCAAATGGATGTCAATGATTAGAGAAAAAGTTTATATTCGAGTTTAAACTGTTTTCTGTTCGCTAGATGGAACTAGTTGATCGCATTTTCTTTTTCTAATTGAAATTTTGTCTCAAATTAACTTTCTCTTTAATTGTTAACTATGATCAATTTATTTCTCTTTAAATCATTTTCTATTACCATAATCATAACTCTTTTAATTTTAGGGTAAATACTTTTTCCTCTCTCCAATATGTTTCTAGATTTAAGAATTTGAATGATTATTACTATTTCATGGATTTCATGGGAAAAGTCATGCGCTTATTTGGAAAAGAGAGTCGGTTGATCAAAACTTGAATGGACGAGAAAAGAGTTCAAATGTAAAGAGATGTTCCCAGTGGATACATGGAACATGAAAATTACCGATATTAGAACTTTTCAATTTCAATTTTCTCTTTTAATTGTGAATATTAATCATCTTAATTGTGTTTGATTATTTTTCTCTTTCTATTCTTCTAGTGAATTTAGTGATTAACGTGCTCATCATAAGTGTCTCTCAGCAGTTTGGTGATATTTTCTCTTGAGTTCCAAAGAAAAGTGTTCATAAGAATTAATCTTAATTTCTACGTAAGTAATTCACCTAAAGTTCGTAAGAGTCACCCTTGATTATTGGAGAATTAACTGTTTACCCTTTTTTATGAGTTCCATTTCGATTATCTCAGACCATATAATCAAGATAATTGATAGAATTCCCCAAGAAAATGTTCTATTCTTTTCTGATGATATTAAAGTTATAATTTCTTTTTCTTTCTTAGTAAAACTCCAAATCTTATTATATTATTTTCTTTATTTGATCAAGTTCTTGTCTACTATAAACCTTAGAGATTTTCAGAAAATCTGAAGAAATGAATTTTATTCATTTTCGATATTAAATATCAACTTTTTTTCCATTATAATTGTTGATATTTCATCTCAGTTGAATAATGAATTACCTGTTGTTGTTGTTTTTACCTCAATGGTGATTCATTTATATCTAAATTCTATTGAATGGAAAAGTGTGGAAGTTTTTTTCTCTTCTATGAAAATTCATTCAATGGTGTTTGTTGGAAATTCTGAAACTGAATCAAAGTTTTTTTTCCTTCAAATTGAACTGTCAAGACTTTGTAATTGAAGTGAAAGTGATTCCTCAATAGAATTACAGTTTAATCAATAATTTCAACTCGTAACTGTGTTCATTTAAAAGTAAATACAATTTTCCATCTTTATATCGTTCTATTGCTGTTATTATCATTGTGTTCGAATGGAAGATGATTATTTTGACAGTTAAGGTGAAAATAATATCATCATGAAGCTAAATATCCAACATTCTCTCTCTCTCCTCCCTGATCAGCTATTTTTTCACTTGCCACTCTGGTGCGTTTCCAATGGAGAGAGAACTTTATTTTTCCACCTTCCCATCTAGACTAATATCATTGGAGTAAATTGTTATACTGTATGTGACCAAAGATGAGACAGAGATGATAATGATGATAATGATACTGAAAGAGGATTAGAGTTACAATTTAGTTTCTTTATGACCGATCAGTGATATAAATACATAAGTAACATCAGAATCTAGAATCTAAATTGATCACCATCATCATTATCATCAGACTAACATTGAAAATGTTTGAGCTTTAATTTTGTATTAACTACAATTTTAACGGTTAAATTGATTGAATATGAGATTAATGATAAATTGTATCGATAATATTGACAGAAAGATGAAGATGAAGATGAAGATGGAGAGGGAACAAAAAAGTTACCTCGTAGCAGAGGAAACAGAGGAAATAGCAAAAGGATAAGATTTGAATGTTAATCTGATGTTGAAGGTGGATAAAGATGAGGATGAGGATGAGGAAGGTGAAGATGTGAATGATAATAAGCAAGTGAAACTGGTGGGAGGTAGAGGGAGGCCAGGATGAGGAAGGTGGTTCACAAGTGTTGACTTGGGAGTGGAAATGATGTTACCCAGTGAATTTATCAAGTGGAACCCACCCCACCCTCTCTCCATTATTACATAACAGTATTAATATTATTTTCCTCTCCTTCCCATGTAATATAATGATGAAAAATTGTCTGACCATTGGAAACTACTAATATAACAATCAACTGATCACAATAATCATCGTAATCATTTATCACTAGTTAATAATTTAGTTTCCTCTCTCTCTTACATTTTAAATTGAGTTTCATGTTTTACTTGTGTTCATTTGATTGATTGATTGTTGTTTCTGCTTCAACTGTTGATTAGTTTTGATTGTTGTTATTTTACAATCAATTAATTGTTTTAATCGCATTCACTAGCAATCACTTTAGTATTTTGTAATATTCAGACAATTTAATCCTAATCAACTGAGAAAATTAATCCTAATGGAAAGTAATCAACTCTAATTATTATCCTTTTCTTTCAATTCTTGTAATTATAATTTTCATCATTTCTTTTTTTGTGTAACAATTAAATCTTTGCTTGATTTAATTCAATTCTTAACATTTAGATAATTAACTTGATCACTTTTTTCTTTGTGTTTATTTGTGTCTCTTAATTGTTACATAAAAAACAATTAAATGATTCTCAATTTATACAACTGAATGTGATTTATGATGATTAGGATTTAATCATTAAGATTGGAAAGTAATTAGATTGATTAACTTGCTTAATTGTGATCACTTTGTTTTTACACGTATTGTGACTGATTAAAAATGTTGATTGTTAATCAACATGTTTAACAATTAACATAACAATTGATTTTTATTTCCTCATCATCTTAATCACAATTGGAATTGAAAGTTGATTGTTTAATAGATTCCCATTCTTAATGGTTATCATTAAATTGCTGCAATTTAAAATTTAAAGTTAATAGTTAAACAATCAAGTAATAAATGACGATAATCAACAAATTTAACAGGAAATTAAACTTCAATTCAATTACAATTCAATTGTAAAATCTCAAATTGAATCAACATTTAGACAGAAAAATTAAAATAACAATTAAGTTGAATAACTAAATCTAAATTGCTGATTCTCATCTGATGATGATAATTAATTACCCAATGTCGTTATTAGTTAATCATGATTATCTTATGAAAAATATCAAAATTGATTATAATAACAATCAAAGTTAGGAAAAGGAAATCAAATCAATCAATTGATTGATGTTTTGATGATGAGCAAAAAACCCTGAGGGTGAAGATGATGATTAAAATGAAGATGGATGAAGATGATAAGACTTATATTGATTGTGGTCATTATTTGATTGTGATAATATTAATCACTTATAATTAATGTAGTTTAATTTGACCAATGTCCATTTGTTATGGTTGTTAAATCAAAAAGGTAACCAAAAAAACACCAAAGTCTTGAGTTATCATCTCAAGCATGATGATTATCATCCTCATCCTCAAGATGATTATCTGTCACTTATCTTCATTTATCTGTGATAAACATTGATGAATGTCCAGTTAGTTGGTCAAGTTTACTGTTAAAGTGTATTAATAATGTATCTTGTTTAACGTTAATTCAAATTAATGGTTTCCTTGTATTAAGTTATGTTTTTTTCATCTTTTTCATAGCAAAAGGATGAGGATGGAGATGAAGATGAAGAGGATGCGGATGATATTTATCATCATCATCTTTTTGCTTAGATTTGTCTTTTTTTGCTCTCATGAAATTTGATACACAAATGATAATGGATTGAGACTGATTCAGATTAATCATCAAGGTGGATTAAGTTGTGATCTGTTTAATTGAAATGGATTTTCATCATTTATTTAATTGTCATGAAACATTAACAGTATCAAGTGATCAATATTTTTGGTTCATTTTTGTGTTTAAATTGATTTAATTCATTGGTTAACTTGATTATATTGATTTTTTGCCTCTCGATTTGATTACTTTTTGATTAAGGTGATTAATCATTGATACACTTTTATGTTTTATATAATTAATTTTCACTCTTTGATCAACTTTAAGTGTCCTTATTATTATTTAGGGCTAGTTAATTGTTGTTAATCCATCAATGGATGTGTACACATAATCTAATACTTATCGCAATCAATTAATTATTACAATCAATCAGTTAAAGCTGTTTACCTTTTCATTGTTTACATTTTCATTTTGAAAGTGACATCAACAATTAGTTGATTTGCTGTTCATTAATTTAAATTTACGTTCAATTGTTTGACTGATTATTTGATTAACTGTTCATTATCAATTATCATTTTGCTGTCACAATTAACAATCATCCCTCT